TAACAGCGATGAGGCATTTATTATACTCTAATACATGTGATCAAGAGCATGGAAATATGCTAATTAAATGTCACCAATAGAGCTTTACCTCTGTGATTTAGTGGGGATTATGACATGACTCGAGTCTCATCCTTATTTTTTAAGCACTTTTTTAAGCAAATGAAACAAACACTTTTATCATACACACTTGGATTTGAACCAAATTCTGTGATGTGACTGGTCTTATACACAGTTTGATTTGAAGAAAAATGCTGCAGAAACAGTCCAGAAGATGGCACACTTTCTTTTCTCTGCAGTGCTCTTTTGAGAGAGAGAGAGAGAGAGAGAGAGAGAGAGAGTCTGCGCCTCTGTTCATAAGAATTCATCCTCTGTATCCATTAGAAATCCAACATATTTGGTGTACTCAAGCATTTCAACAATTTCAGTGTGCTCAGAAGAGATTACGTGGTCTGGACTTTGAATTGGGTGCTCTGATGTTTGCGGCGCATAGCTCATAACTTGCTGTGAAAACAAATAGTCCGGCTTCGTTTTAATGAATGGCATGTGTTTTGCTATTGTTGGGATTCTGAGTGGTGTTTGAGTTTGGCATCAGTGTCATCAAAATATGTGTTCGACATTATTTGAGAAGCTATTTGGCGTGTGTAAATGTTTTAGTTGGGGTTTATGCTAAATTTATTAACAGTTTCTATAGTTTTAAACATTTCTTTAGCTAATAATAATAATACTAATAATAGTAATAATAATAATAATAATAACAACAACAATATAAAAAATAATATAATGATAACAAGAACAAGAACAACAACAATGATAATAATAATACTAATAATAATAATAATAATAATAATAATAATAATAATAATACTAATAATAATAATACTAATAATAATGATAACAACAACAATATAAAAAATAATATAATGATAAGAAAAACAACAACAACAACAACGATAATAATAATCATTATAATATTATTATTATTATTATTATTATTAATACATTTTTATTATATTGTTGTTTTGTTGTATATGGCAACATTTGATTTTAATAATGTTTTAGTACATATTCAACTATGATTAAGCGATTTGCAATATGTTCTTATTTCATGCTAGTAAATACCATTAAAAGTGTTAGTTTATTAAATATTAAAGCTTGAAATGATGGCAAAGTGATGGCAAATCTGCATTTTCCATTATTTTCCATCTCATTATTTCAATGAGGATGATTATTTTATAGCTCCTATTTATTTATTTTTATTTCTTTATTTTTATTTTATTATTTATTTTATATTTTGCTTGATTTTGATACTAAAAGTTTTATTTTATTTATCAACACGTTAACATTCTTCACTATAAAAGTCCATTGGTAATTAAGAAACTATGGTAATGAAGCAATTATGTAAATGGATTAAAAAATGTACCAAAGTTTTGTTTGCAATTAACCATTAGATCAATTAACTATTCACTGTGTTATGTACTGTCATTTGTTACGGTTTAAGTGGTAAAGATATAACTTCTGCTATTTAATTAGGTGGTGGTGTGGAGAGACCCCCCCCCCCCCCCCCCCCTCATGATTGTGAAGCGCTTTGGGTGTATGGCCATACACAAAATGCGCTATATAAATACACATTACATTTACATTACATTTACAATGTGTTCGATTATTACATTTCATTTCACACAAACCACAGAGCTATTTTTTTAATTACTTTGACCACATTCATGTATAATTCTTATTACATATTCATTCAAACAAGTAAAGTCTGGCATATAAACAATTGTTTGAAAAACCTTTTCCGTCAAACTCAATTAAGGTACAATCGTCACTATTAGCAAGCCATTAACGAAGACTTTTATCTTAATAGACTAGTAATTTGCTGCTTATTACAAGTTAATAAAGTCATAGCAGTAGTAGTATCATACTCCATAAGTGCAAATAAACATTGTTTTATAATAAGCAGGAAGTTAATAGCGTAAATTGGTTCTTAAACTAAGGTGTTAACTTTCAACCTTATGTATATCTTCATAACAGGATACTCAGATTAAATACATGTGTTTTTATCTCCTAAAAAAAAAACATTTGTTGAATCATGTACTTTCTTCTCAGTACACTAAAAGAATGACCTGAAATATATAACCAGTAACTAATTACAAAAACTCAAATTACCGTAACAGAGTAGTGTTTCTCAGGAATTGTAGTAGTTTAAAAAATTTGTACAATTTTGGTACTGTATCTGTACTATTGACTCTACTTTCCTTTAACCCACAGTCATTAACCCACATGCTTTGTTTATTTATTGTATTTTTGTTTTTTCTTGGTGATTGACTAAGTAGAATAACCAGTCCCAATCCCAATCCCAATTCCTGTCCAATCAAATTGGGATAGAAAAATAACAAACTAACCTTAAGATTACAAAAAATAAATACATAAATAAATAAAAAAACTTAAGACATGCATAAAACACAAGCATACACGTAGAGTATAGAAGTATTTAAGAAAATGTGAACTCGCCAAATGGCCTTAAACAATACAGAATTAAACTACAGTTACATTTTCAAACACATGCACAAACTGCCTGTACACTGCCTGACAAAAGTCTTGTTGCGTATCCACGTTTGAGGAGCCACAAATAATAACTTGACTTCTAGTTGATCATTTGGTATTAGAAGTGGCTAACATGCAAGCCAAAAGCCTCTAGATTACGTTTATTTACCAAAATAAAATATGATCATGCCTTGATTTCAATTGAGTCAGTAAGGTCTGACTTTGCTTAGACAAAAGTCTAATGGCAAAGAAAGCATTCTAGCAGGACTTCCAGAGTTCATCAAGATTCTTTGGATTCCTCGTCAATACCTATTTGTGATGATTGGGATGCAGTTCAACAGCTGATTCATCAGAAAAAATACACCTTCTCCACTTTTCCAAATGATCAACTAGAAGTCAAGTTGTTATTTGTTGCTCTAACAATTGGGTTTGACTCCAAGACTTTTGTTAGGTAGTGTGTTCAATCAGTCCTGCAAAAACATGATGTATGGTGCCTGGAGTTGGACACTCTTAGTTTCTTGCAAAGTTCAAAGTGCATGACCTAAGAATTAACACTGGTTAGAATTAACTTATAACTGTTATCTTAACTATAATCACTGACCGATTATTCTGCTTGTTTGAGGCTTAGTGTCCACCAAAGTGTTATGCAAAACACTTTTGGTGGACAACCAAAACTATGTTACGGAGTATCCCCGCTGTATGGTTATAAGTTGAAAGTCTTCAGCAGATTTTTGTGGTATTGTCCCACCCCTCTATCAACGTGACTGTAAGGCTAGCTCAATTGTGACACTGATGCTAAGCATGGCTGTACCCAGTCAGTACCTGAATGGGAAACCACATGGGAAAGCTAGATGGCTGCTGGATGTGGTGCTAGCAACACCAGCAGGCCTCGCTCAACCTGCGGTCTGTTTGGGTCCTAACACCCTAACACACCCTAACACAGGTCTGGCGTAGTACTGAAACCCAGTACTGGGTACTGAAACCCAGTGTGCGTCTGGTGTGTGATACTTTCAACTGTCATGTGCGCGCCATGTCGTGGCTCTCAAATGTAAGTTTCAGAAAGCAACTTATGTACACACCTGAATCATATTATTATCTTTTTCAGATTAAGGCAAATCATTAGATCACTGATGTCCATTTAAAGGTATAGCCACAAGCCCCAAACCCAGAAAAAAAGGTGTTCCCTGATTTTGTTGACAGCCTTTTTATAGGCTAGTAGTAAGCTAATGTAATGTTAAGAGCAAAATGCAAATCTTGCATTCATGCTAACAAACAAATGATCAGAAGAAATATATTTATGCTATTCAAATATATAAAATATATATTGATGTTTTCTTTAAACATTTTATAAATATATATTTATATTTTTCAATTATAATAATTAATACATGTATATTTTTTGTCAAATAATTTTGTGGCTAAAAGGGCGGTTCAGGCACCGTTTTGGCACCGGTACCATTTTTAAAGTATCAATGTAGCGCCGGTAACGAAATAACCCCAAACAATACCCAACCCTAGTCTGGCACAATAGGGCTGCCGTCGCATCATTCAGGTTGATGCTGCACACTGGTGGTGGATGAGGAGATTCCACCTCAAAAAGTGTGTAAAGCAATTTGAGTTTTCAGAAAAGTGCTATACAAATGTCAGGAATTATTATATTAGAGAAAAAAACTCAATTTTGACACATTATTTCAGAAAACAAGACAATATAATTTTCTTAATGTCTAGAAATGTTTGATATTTTGACTTAAAAACATAACAAAGGTTTTTTTTTTTTTTTTTTTTTTTTTTTTTTTGCAGTGTAACTATGCTATAGCATTATTTTTTTAACTATCAAAATAATTTTAAATAATGATAAATTGCAACACTCCATTTTAAAACAACCGTATGCTTTGTGTAATGCCGAACCGTTGAACTATTTTACAAACTCTACCGATTTCCAGCATAGTGACTAGCAATCACACTTTATTCTGATGGTCCATTTGTTACATGCCAACGAATCATCATAAGATTATAAGTAGATGGTTTGGTTAGGATTAGTGTAAGTTTACATGTACTTGCAAACATTCTTATAGTCAGTTATGTCTGGGAAGGAGTAGTACCAACAGATATTAATCAGACAGTCTACTAATACACAAATTGACCATCAAAATAAAGATTTACCCATTTTTATTATTATTATTATTTTTTTAACATACTCCACAGTTGGTTCATTTACAGTATATTTAAATCAGATGCCTATTTTTCAACTAACTAGCTTAGGCAGACATATTAAACTAGTCAAATCAGGTCATTGAACAATGACTGAAAAGAATAACCATGGTTTGAACCAAACTTCAGACTTTAAAAATCACATCGGGAAAAAAATTCAGAAGGAACACGTTACATAAAAGTTCGAAACAACTCTGAAAAAATAAGACAAACAGCTCAAGCACATGAAAGTAGCTAAAACTCACATTCTGTAGACGCTCCAGGCCCTCCGTAGAGTGTTGTAGTGGTCTTGATGTTCTCATTGCTCTGTGTGAACAATGCTTGCGTGGGGCTTATGGGAGCCACCGGAGGAAATTCTCCATTGGCTGAGGATGAGAGAAAACACACAATACATTGTTACGGTCCAACAATGCTGTAGACACAGAAGAATATTGCTGCCATTGTAAAAAGCACAGACTCTGTAAGCCTATTGATAATAACTGGATTCTGTCTCAAGGAGAAAAGTTATTTCAGATCAAATATTCCATGTCGGTAACTCGTTTAATGGCATCTCTGTCTTGAGAATTGCTTGTGTATATGAGAAGCATGTGCTAAAAATGGATCAACAGCTTGGACGTCTTTCGCATTTTGAGAAATGTTAATTATATGCTAATAATGCCGTTCATGTAAAAGCCTCAAATGGGTTGACCTCAAAATCTTGATGTGAATTACCCAACTGGGAAAATTCCATGCCGCTCGGCCAATACTAATAAATGTGCATGTACACGAATAGCATATCCCAGATATATCGTTTTTAGTGATACTGTATATGCTTATACACTATCAAGATTTTATGGCTGTTAAATGTTCATAAGCTTGGCAAAACCTGCATAGAAGGTGATTTTTTTGCATTTCATGAGGATTTTTTTCTCTGTTTGACTGGATTTGACATTTCCATCACCTCCCCTCATGCGATTTTCATGGAATAATATTTCATGGACAGGTCCACTTGAACAGTCTGGGTAAAAGAAATGTGTGCATATATATGTAGTCTGTTTCTATACTAAAGTATTATCCAGATCTGGCATGTTGATTGCACTGGTGTGAAGTAGTTCCAGGAACGTTGCTTGAATAACACTTGCAAATCACTTTGACTTGTGTTAACATGGTATTTTGAACAATTTGCCAGATCGTTGAAATATTAATACCAATTGTGCTCTTGAGGTTTAAACAATGGCTTTGAGTTATTTATTTTTAATGCATTCTTTGAAATCTCAGTGGCGAAAAACTGACAAAAAAAAAAAAAAAATAGACATTTCTAGTATTTGAGTGATTTTGAAGCATGGTTTGCTTACATTACAGGTCTCAAACTCGATTCCTGCAGGACTGCAGCTCTGCACAGATTTGCTCCAACATATTTAAAACATAGCTAATCCAATTAATCAAGGTGTCTAAGGCTACTATGGACTAGACATGGGACGATAACCGATTTCAAGGTTTACTGCGGTTTGGAAAAGTCAAGGTATTAAAACCGCAAAAAAATTCTGTTATACTATTCCTTAAGTATATGTGAGTTGTATCTTTTTTTTTTTTTTTTTTTTTTTTTTTTTTTTTTTTTTTAAACAACCTTTTTACCGTTATATATATTTAGGGCAACAAGGTGTTTTTTTTTTACATGCATTTTATATTTTTTATTTCTCTTTGCTATTTGGGCTTTTTGGAACCTAATTAGAATAAAAATCTAAGTATCATCTTTTGATGTAATGTACTTTTAAAGAAAATGATTTATGATATATATATATATATATATATATATATATATATATATATATATATATATATATATATATATAATACTCATTTTAAAAACAGTGCAAGTATTCATAGCGTTTCACTTTTTCCACTTTTTTTTTTAATTTTTTTTATCTTACAGCCTTATTCCAAAATGGATTAAATTAATTTATTTACTCAAAATCCTACACACAATACCCCATAATGACAATCTGAAATTGTTGCAAATGTACTAACATTAAAAAAAAAAAAAAAAAAAAAAAGGAATTGTCTGTAGACCTCAGAGACAGAAACAAGGCTGGTTAAAGTTACAGAAAAAAAATCTGCTGCTCTGAAAAATCCATTAAGCACAGTGGCCTCCATCACTCGTAAGTGGAAGATGTTTGGAACCTACAAGAATCTTCCTAGAGCTGGCCGGCCATCTAAGCTGAGTGATTGGGGGAGAAGGGCCTTAGTTAGGGAGTTAGGGAAGTGATCCATAACGCGATTGTCACTCTGTCTGAGTTTCAGCGTTCTTCTGTGGAGAGAGGAGAACCTTACAGAAGGACAACCATCTGTGCAGCAATCCATTAATCAAGCCTGTATGGTAGAGTGGCAAGATAGAAGCCGCTCCCCGCCTGGAATTTGCCAAAAGACATCTGAAGGACTTTCAGACCATAAGAAGCTTAATTCTCTGGTCTAATAAATCTAATTCTGAACTTTGAAATGTATGCCAGACTTTACGTTTGGAGAAAACCAGGAGGGAAAGATGAATGCAGCAATGTAAAGAAACATCCTGAATGAAACCTGCTTCAGAGTGCTCTTGACCTCAGACTGGGGCGGCTGTTCATCTTCCAGCAGGACAATAACTCAAAGCACACAACAAAATTATCAATGAAGTGTCTTCACAACAACATGGTGACTGTCCTTGAGTGGCCCAGCCAAAGCCCAGACCTAAATCCTATTGAGCATCTCTGGAGAGATCTGAAAATGGCTCTACACCGTTGCTTCCTGTCCAACTTGATAGAGCTTAAGAGGTACTGCAAAGAGGAATGGCCAAACATTCCCAAAGACAGTTGTGCCAAGTTTGTATATTCATAAAGTTTTGTCATATTCATAAAGACTTGAGGCTGTAATTGCTGCCAAAGGTGCATCAACAAAGTATTGAGCAAAGGCTGTGAATACTAATGTACATGTGATTTTTTTTTTTTTTCAGGTTTTTTTATTTTTAATAAATTTGCAACAATTTCCAAAAAAATAAAATAAAATTACATTGTCATTATGGGGTATTGTGTGTAGAATCTTCAGCAAATAAATGAATTTATTCCATTTTGCAATAAAGCTGTAACATAAAAAGTGGAAAAAGTGAAGCACTATGAATACTTTCCAGATGCACTGCAAGCAGTTTAAGCAGCAAACATCCTTTCTTGAGTGTTCACTACTCCTGCACTTGTTCAAAGTCTATTAAACTGTCTTTCTTCAGTTGAACATAAGAGACAATATTGAGAAAATACTGGTTGCTGGGAACCATTGACTTCCACATCCATAGTGTACAGTATTTTTTTTTTACTGTTATTCAAGCCAGTGTGTCCCAGCAACCAGCATTCATTTTCCAGAAAGAATAATAAAATAAAATCAATCAATCAATCAATCAATCAATCAATCAATAAAAACCATCAAGGTTTAAAACCACATGAGGCAGAGTTAACAATGAGTTCATTTTCTTTTTATGTAACCTATCCTTTTAAGCCGACAGTATTGTACGTTAATAACTGCTTGTTGACGTAGTTGAAATGTTGCATACATAAAGTTAATTTTGGAAATAAAATATTGCCTAAAACACATTCTTAAAACCACAAAAGTAGACATCCACCTCCAAGGGTGCCAAGACATGAGTTCATGTTTCTTAATTACTATGACAATCCACATGAGCTTCTGCATTGTTCCAATTGTCAGCTCCCCGTGAAGACAAATCATCCCTTTCCCCCAAACATAGCCGCTCAGACAATACTGGGACTCTATGAAAAATGCTACCTCTCATCTCAATTCCTTAATCATCTCTTTAAAAAAATCCTCATCTGCCCCCACAAAACTCCCGCACAGCTCTGCCTGGAGTTGGCATCATTCATCACAATCTGGACTCCCCATTGCATTCTCCCTCCCATGATGCACCATATTATCTGTCCTCCCCTTTCAGGAATCAAGAAGCTAGTCTATCAGTTAAAATCATACCCCTGAGACATGCTCTGTGTGTCATGCAAAAAGGAGTGTGAAACTTTGCATTTTTATAACAAAAATGCTTAAATCAAGTAGTACTGTAATTAGTAGCTACTTAAAATGTGTTTTAAAAACTGCTAAATATATATATTTATTTATTTACATTCCAATGGCAGATATAGATGTTCTTCTAGAACTTTGTACTATATTTGGTTGTAATTCATTCATTCATTAAATATCATAATGACATTAATTCATCCATTCATTAATTTCTTAAAAATAACACTGACATTCATACATCCAGTAATTCAATCATTAAATGTCATTATGTAATTCATTCATTCATCATTCATTTATTCATTCATTCATTCATTTGTAAATATCATAATGCCATTCATTCATTTAAACAATGTCATTAAGTCACTGACAATTACAATGTCATTCATTCATCAAATACCCGACATTCATTTTAATATCATAATTTCATTATTTAGGATTTCATTCATTCATTTAATTTCATCCACCCATTCAATAATTAATTAAATATAATGACATTCATTTTTTATATCATAATTTCAGTAATTTGTTAAATATCATAATATCATTCATTCATTTATTAAAGATCATACTTATTCATTCATTAAATGTCTAAATGATATTAATTCATGCATGTATTCATTTATTAAATGTCATTCATAAAATACCATAATGGCGTTCATTTATGTATTGAAGATCATACTGGCATTGATTCATTCATGCATTTAAAAAAAAATAATTTCAATAACTCATTTAGGATTAAAATGTCATTCATTCATTCATTCATTCATTCATTCATTAAATCATTAAATGTCATCATGGCATTCGTTTTTTAGTATAATTTCATTTGTTCAAGATCATAATGTCATCTATTAATTAATTAATAACTTAATTCCTTCATTCAAGATCAAAATGACAATAATTAATTCATTCGATATTGGAATGATAGACATTAATTCATGCAATCATTTATTGAATGTACTTTTTACATTCAGTCATCAAAGATCATAGTGACATTCATTCATTCAATATCACAATGTCATTAAATCATTTTTAAAGATAATAGCATTTATTCATTCATCAGTATCATGACCTGATCTTTTAACATTGAAATATCATTAAGTTCATTCATTCATCCATCCATCCATTCATTAAATCATCCATTCATCCAATAATTATTTAAATATAATGGCATCCATTTTATATCATAATTTCAATAATTCGTTCAATATCATAATGTCATTCATTCATTTGTTTATTAACGATCATAATGACATTCATTCATTAGATTTCCAAAAGAGATTCATTCATTTATGCATTCATTTATTTAATTTAATTTCATTCATTCATTCATTCATTCATT